CCATTGGGTTGCCATACTGAACAAATAGATCCCATATGGAATAATGTAAAATTAGATTATACCCCGTTTCAGACCCCACCAAAATACACATACAAAAGCACTTAACAAATACACTCAACATATTTTTCGAGTTGGGGCCTGTTTCAAAACTCAAGGTGCCACTCACTGTGTCATTGTTGTGTGTATAATATAAATATATATATAAATATATAATATATATATAGTTAAATAAAAATATATATATATATACAGTGGACCCCCGCATAAAACGATTACCTTCCGAATGCGACCAATTATGTAAGCTATTATGTAAGTGCCATTTGTACGTGCGCATGTTTTGGTGGTCCTGAAATGGACTAATCTACATCCAATATTTCTTATGTGAACAAATCCGTCAGTACTGGCACCAGAACATACTTCTGGAGTGAAAAAATATCGTTAACGCGGGGGTCCACAGTTTATATATATATCTAAATATATATATATATGGTATATAATATATATATATAAATATATATAAATATATATATATAATATATATATATACACACATATATATTTATCCTTATACGAACTCAAATAACAACACTGCACTAGCCAAGTGACTCGACCCATGCTGCCTTTGGCCTGCCTCTGGGTGGCGCAAACACATGACGCCCTTATCCACTGAACCATACGATCCTTTTTATGAGATCGGATGGTCCAGTGGATAAGGGCGTCATGGGTTTTGGTACCTTGGCTATGTAGTGTTTGTTTATTGATCAATACCACCCGTATACGTGTCACAATTCTATATAGTAGCGTGTATATAGTATTATATATATATTATGATATATATATTATATATATATATATATATATGTATATATAACTAATATTTTTTTTTTCTACACACCACATCACACAGGCCGACTCCGCCGACTTCCCACCAAGGGCAGGGAGGGCCCAAAAAGAAAAACTTTCAACCATCATTCACTCCATCACTGTCTGTCAGTAGGGTGGCTTACACTACAGTTTTTAAACTGCAACATTAACAACCCTCCTTCAGAGTGCACAGGCACTGTACCTTCCCCCTCCAAGGACTCAAGTCTCTGGCCTGCCGTTTCCCTGAACCCTCATAAATGTTACTGTTCTCACACTCCAACACACATCAAGTATAAAAAACCATTTGTCTCCATTCACTCCTATCAAACACGCTCACGCATGCCTGCTGAAAAGTCCAAGCCCCTCGCCACAAACCTCCTTTACCCCCTCCCTCCAACCTTTCCTAGGCCGACCCCTACCACCCCGCCTTCCTTCCACTAACAGACTGAACACTCTTGAAGTTATTCTGTTTCGCTCACATTCTCATCCCACCATGTCCGAAACACCTCAACAACCCTTCCTCAGACCTCTGGACAACAGTTTTTTTTTGGGTAATCCCGCACCTCCTACCTAACTTTTCCAGACTACGAATTCTTCTGCATTAATTCACTACCACACAATTGCTCTCAGACATGACATCTCCACTGGCTCCAGCCTTTCCTCCTCACTGCAACATACATCACCCATCTTCACACCATATAAAAGCGTTGGTAAAACTATACATTCTCATACATTCCCCTCCTTTCCGTCCAAGGACAAAGTTCTTTGTCTCCACAGACTCCTAAGTGCACCACTCACGCCTTTTCCCCTCATCAATTCTATGATTCACGCTCATCTTTCATAGACCCATGCCGACGACTACGTCACTCCCAAATAATCTGGAATACATTCACCTCCTCCATACACTCCTCCCTCCAATCTGATATCCAATCTTTCATCCCCTAATCTTTTTGTTATCCTCATAACCTTATCTCTTTCCTGTATTCACTTTCCATTTTCTTCTTTTGCACACCCTACGCCAAATTCCATCCCCAACTCTGCAACTTTCTCTTCCATGATCTCCCAAGAGCACAGTGTCAATCCTGCAAAAGCAACTGTGACAACTCTCCCACTTTAATGTGGATTCTTTTCTTTAAACTCCTATGCCTCTTGCCAAGACCCCTCGCATTTACTTCTCTTACAACCCATTTCTAAAAATATATAAACAACCACAGTGACATCACACATCCTTGTTTAAAAGGCCTACTTTTACTGGGAAATAATTTCCCTCTTTCCTACATACTCTAAACTTGAAGCCTCACTATCCTCTGTAAAAAACAATTCACTGCTTCAGTAACCTACCTCCTACACCATACACCTGCAACATCCTGCCACATTGCCTGCCCCCCTATCCACCCTGTCATACCCTTTCCAAATCCAAAAATGCCACAAAGACCTCTTTAGCCTTATCTAAAAACTGTTCATCTATATGTTTTTCACTGTAAACACCTGGTCCCACGTCACACCTCGCCCCTAAACCTTTCCTAAAGCCTCCTTGTTCATCTGCTATCCTATGCTCACGTTACTCTTAATTCTTCAATAATAACTTCTACCATACACTTTGCAGGTAACTCCAACAGACTTATCTCCCCCTATAAAATTTTTTGCACTCTCTTTTATACCCCCTTTGCCTTATACAAAGGAACTATGCATGCTCTCTCTCTGCCAATCCCTAGTACCGTTACCCATCTTCCAACATTTATTATATAATTGGCACCAATAACCACTCCAAAACTATATCCCCACCTCTTTTAACATTTCTATCCCTTTATCCCAGTCAATCACCGGCTGCCTTACCCCCTTTTTCCATTTTACCTACTGTCTACTGTCTCACGAACTTCCCCACACTGACTCACAACTGGCTCTTCCTCAATCCTACAAGATGTTGTTCCTCCTTGCCCCTATACACAAAATCACAGCTTCCCTATCTTTCAATCAACAGTTAACAATTCCCTCATGATATTCCCTCATCTCCCATACCACTAACTCTCTTTTAATAACTAACCTCTCCTATTTTAACACAAATCCATTTGTTTCTCTAGGCTTTTCTTAACTTGTTAATCTCACTCCAAACATTTTCCTTATTTTCAACAAAATTTGTTGATAACATCTCACCCACGTCTGTCATGTTGCACTCTTTTTACATTGCTTCACCACTTCTCTTAACCTCTCTCTTTTTCTTCTCCATATTACTTCTTCTTTCCCCCTTATCACTTCTACTTTTGTAAAAAACTTCTCATATGCTAACTTTTTCTTTCTCCCTTACTAGGTAACTCTCTTCACATCATCATTCCACCAATTGCTCCTCTTCCCTCCCACACACCCACTTTCTCTTTCCTGTAACCACAAACTTCTGCTGAACACTCTAGACACTACATTTTTTTAAACCTACCCCATACCTCTTCGACCCATTGCCTATCTCTCATTAGCCCATCTATCCACCAATAGCTGTTTATAATCTTACCCTAACTGCCTCCTCTTTTAGTTATAAACCTTGCACCTCTCTCTTCCCCTGATGCTTCTATTCTCCTTGTATCCCATCTACCTTTTTACTCTCAGTGTACTATCAACTAGAAAGTGATCTATATATCTGTGGCCGCACTCTATAAACATGTACATCCTGAAGTCTACACAACAGTCCTTTTTACTACCAATACATAATCCAACAAACTACTGTCATTTCGCCCTACATCATAATCTTGTAATACTTATTTAATCCTCGTTTTTCTAAAATATTATTACCTATAACTAAACCCCTTTCTATACAAAGTTCAATCAAAGCTCCCATTATCATTTACTACCTGGCACTCCTAAACCTTACCTACACACATGCCCTCTCTAAAAGTTTCTCCTACTTTAGCATTCAGGTCCCCTACCACAATTACTCTCTCACTTGGTTCAGAGGCTCCCTATACATTCACTTAAACATCTCCCAAAATCTCTCTCTCTCCTCTGCATTCCTCATCTTCCTCCAGGGTGCATACACGCTTATTATACCACATTTTTCATCTCGCATCCAACCTTTACTATTAATCCACATACTATATATAATAAATATATATATATATAAATAGTATAGTATATATATATATAATATATATATATATATATATATATATATATAATATATATTTATATATATATAATATATATATATATATATATATAATATATATATATATAATATATATATATATATATATATATATATATATATATATATTATCTATATATATAATATTTATATATATATATAATATATATATATATATATATATATAATGAAGTTCACTGAGGAAAAGTTATTAAAATAACTAGAACAAGAGCTGGAAGGAAAAGAGGAGATACACAGGAAAATGTTACCTCTCTAAAAGAAGAATTGGAATAAGAGATCATAGGAATGAAAAAGAATAATGGAGATAACACTGTGTTTATCTCTTCTGTTTACATGTTTATATTTATTTCCTTTACCTTTCTCTCTTTTATTTATCCACCCTTAATGCCTTTCACACTTATTCTTGCAATTATCCACTCTCCCTGCCTCTTACCCTCGTTCCTGCAATTATCCACCCTCACTCTATCTGCTTCTGGTTCCTATTCTGTAACAGTTATTTCCCTCCCTCTATTTTGTTACAAGTTTCACTTCTTTGTTTTTTCTCCTTTCCTGGCATCTTCAATTTTTTATAATTTTTTTGCCACGAATCAATTTTCTATCTGTTTCTCCTTTATTGTTCTTCCAATATTACACTTTGAGATTCTTATGTCCCATTTTGCAATCTGTATTTTCTTCTCTTTATCCATGAGGCTATCTTCTGTCTATATTTGTTTCTTTCTGTCACCTATTTTCCTTCCTACCCCTCCCTTTTTCTCTCATTCCCATCTTCTCTTTCACTGCCCCTTAACCATTTATGTATTTCATATTTTCCTTGTTCCCTATTCTTAATTCTTCCTTGGTTAATCTCTCTCTTCCCTCTTCCTCACCTACTCTTTTTTTGAAACCTGACTTCTGCCTGGCTTCCTTTATTCTTACTACATGTTTTCTTCTCTCCGGGCTTTTCTTCTGGCTTCTAACCTCGCCTCCGCTTGGCCATGGATAG